TGCTTTTGGTTGTTGTCATTGTGCTTTTGGTTGTTGTCATTGTGCTTTTGGTTGTTGTCATTGTGCCTTCTTTTGTGCAACTAAAGGAACATGGTATGTGTTGGAAACTCGACCTCCCTATGCCCCTCGGTGTGGCGGGGTAAATCAAGCAGAATTCGCGGAAGAAAGTCGCTGAGGTCCTGATCCCGACCGTACACTTTAGACATGGATGACGATGTACCGCACATGCGTACCGGATTAGACTTCTCCAGTGCAGAGGAGATGCGCCGTTGGGTGTGGCAGTACTGAACAGCGGGGTACAAATCGGCATCGCCGCAAAGTAAGACTACTTGTTCAAACTGGCGGTGTATAAATGTCTCGATGACGCATGTCGCAATGGCCACGTCAACGCCCGTCTGAACCCACACTTGTCTTGGCCCATCTCGGGTATACCCCTTCTGCAGTTTCATTCGCCCAACGAGGCGGGCCACAACATTGCTAAGCCGCCGGCCGCCATTCATCTCGTCCGCCAACAGTCGCTTGCGAAGGTTGCTCTCGCGGAACGCCTTTTCTCTGTGGGCTAGCGGCATGGAATGTTCGATGTACTCCGTGAAAGCGGCCGGGTCCGTGTCGAACCAGTACGCAACTGGCTCCTTCTGGAACACCTCCCCGAGGAAGTCGAGCGTGTAGCGCAGCACCTCTACTGTGCGTTTAAACTGCGCCTCGTCACGGTTTTTGTGGTCCTTAAGGGCGCGCTCAAAGTAGCCACCATCGATAATGACAGCGACGCGCCCTTCACACTTAACTCCACTCTTTTCAAACGGAGGTACTACAATATCAGCAGGAACAGTAGCTGGGCTCGCGTCAGAATTATCCCCGCGCGAGCTGTCGGTGTCGTTCGAGTTCGTCTCCAGTGAACCGCCATCCATGACTCCGCCTGTCGCAGAGGAGTTCTGCGTGCACTGCAGCGTGGGATGCTGGCCACTGCAAATATGACAGCGGAGTTTCGAACACGAACTGGCAATGTGACCCTTCTCGTGGCAACGGCTGCAGAGCGCCTCCGGGCATTGGGCGAGGAGGTGCCCCGTCTGGTTGCACATGTGGCACACCACGTTCTGAGTGCACTCCGACATCTCGTGGCCAGGCTCCTTGCACCGGTAGCAAACTCGGCCCTTCTGTTTCATGGGGCATTTTGTGGATATGTGCCCAGCCAGGGAGCAGTGAAAGCAAAGCGGCCTACTGTGGCAGAGCTGTGAGCTGTGGCCGTAACTACCGCAGTTAAAGCAACGAGTCAATGGGCACGTTGGCATCATATGACCCCTCTGATGGCACTGAAAGCACTCCATGGTCTGATTACGAAGAGGGCAGCTCGCCTGCACGTGTCTCGACGAACCGCAGCTTCGGCAGACCGACCCATCACCGTCCTCTTCAGCGCGTGCACGCTTCTTTTCATTCGGACAGTCCTCCTTAAAGTGTCCCAAACGCCCACAGGAGATGCACTTCACAAGGGGGCAATCCCGACGAAGGTGATCAGTAGCTGAGCAATTGCTGCAGGTGGCACTGTGTGTAGCCTTCATGGTGAGGAACCCTTCTCTTTATACATGCATACATACAATCCAATATGGCAAGCATCACGCAAGCACGCACACACACAGACATATATATATANATATATATATATATATATATATACGAGAAGAGGGAGTGTAAGAGAGAGGGAGAGGAGGAAAGAATGTTGTAGCAAGACCGAGGCATCTACACAGGTTTCGCCATGACTCACACAGACACCACTCTCAGTACATCCCATTGCAACAGGAATGGGACAAAGATACCCTCCTCCACTTCCAAAAGTGCGTATTCACCGTGCCGCCAGAAACTTTAATCGAGCCATTGAAAAAAAGAGCACTTCCGACCGCCACACGTGAGAAATCGTTTCCCCTTGGAGGCCTCCTTGCGGGACACCAGCTGCTTCGCCGGCACGCCACACTCACACATCACGCCTGTGGTGTTACCCGTCGAAGTAGGCTTTCGGCCAGAGGCCTTTACTCTGCTCACCGACGGAAGGGTGTATGGTGTCCGTTGCTCTTGCTGTCGTTGTTGCGGTGGTGGTGGTGGTAGTGGTTGGCGTTCTTCTCGTTCACGGCCCGCACTGGGAACTGCTCCCCGCGGATTGCCCCCCTTCAGTGTGATGTAATCGGCCACGCGGGCATCGCAGAACACACAGACGCATTCCCCCTCCTCTATCCCAGGGACACTCTGCATCCCGCCGAATTCAAACTGGAGCATGACGGCCTGGCACAACGCGCAGCGCATCGCAGGCACGGGGCGGACTTTTCTCGCTCGCGGAAGCGTGACGGAGAGCGTGCACGTAGGAAAGCCACGGCACCCCAAGAAAGACCCCGTCGCATTCGTGCGCAAGCGAATGTCGTGCTCCATGCACGACATGCACTGCTTGATGGCCACATTCTCAAGGCCCTTCGCCAGCGGGCAATCTGCGACGCACTGGTAGCAGCGAAATCCTGTGAGGGACTCGATGTCCGCACCAGAAGGCGGTGACGTGAAGCATTTCGGGCACACCGTGTAGGATGTCTGTTTCTCTGAATTCGTCACGTTAAGAACACCAAAACCGCACAGCACACAGCACTGGTCATGTGCTTCCAGTTGGTTGAGCCGGCCGTTCGGCACACGGTGATCGCTGGCACATGTGGAGCAGCGTGTGAACCACACCTCTCGCTCACCCTCCTTGTGCTCGACCACGTCCATGAGGTTGTGGCACACACCGCACCGCACCACGTCTCGCCGCACAACACGGCCGGCGCCGTAGGTGCACGGCAGCGATGATCGTGCCGAAACTGGAGAGAGATGGCGGCACAACTCTTCATACATCTCTTGGCTGCTGGAGGACAACTTATGAAAGACTTCTCGGTAGAGCTGCACCGCCGCCTCCACCACCTGATTCTTCGTGGCCTTTCCACTTGCAATGTCGCCCATGGCGAGCTCCATCTGTGCGCGCAACTGCGGCTGCAGGAGGCATAGGAGCCCAATCACCTCGTAAGCAGAAGCCAACGCGATGCCGAGGGCCGTGGAGACCAGTGACGACCCCTCACGCTTGACGTACTCCCTATCGAGCACGGTCTTGATGTGTTGCGCAATGGTGGCATCGGTGCCAATGCCGTGCTCGTCCATCAGTGTAATGAGATTTGCCTCAGTGAGGTTGGGCGGGGGTGCCGTGCGGTGTTTCTCGAGACTGACGTCAGTCGGGACGAAGCGCTCCCCTTGCTGGTACACCGGCAAGCACGTGTCATGCCATCGCTCGTAGGGGTATATCTCCAGCCAGCCGCGCTCAAGGATTGTCGTGCCGGATGTGGTGAACTTCTCGCCGCCAAGCACTGCGGTGACAGCCGTCGTGGCGGCCACCGCGTCGGGTGAGATACACGCGAGAAAATGACGCACGATGAGGTTGTAGAGCGCGCTCCTCTCATCATTCCCGCCCCGCATCAGTTTCGTCGGGTAAATGGGTGGATGCGCCTTGTCGTCGTGGCCGCCTTTCAGCGGGCGACGGAACTTTTGCGTCGGGTCACTCAGTATCGCACCCACGTAATCAGCGACGTCCGGGTTGCCGCGCTGCCCCGCTGCAATCTCGAGCAGCTCATCATCTGTGAAGGAGAAGGAGTCCGTCTCGGTGCGCGGGTACGACACGTAGCCCTCCTGGTACAGCGACTCCGCCCACGTCATGCACTTCTCCGATGAGATGCGCAAGTGCGTGGCGGCCAACTTCTGAAGTGCGACGGTGGCGAGCGGGACGGGCGGGCGCCGCTTGTTTGGCCGCTGCGTCACTTCCACGACGTGCGCCTCGAGACTGGGACCTGCTGCTGCCAGCATCGTATCGAGCACCAGAGTAGCCGCGATCTGGTCAAACACGGCGCCGCGGCAGCTCTGGAAGACAGTCTGCTCGTGACGCAGCAGCAGCGTGAAGTAGTCCTCCGGCACAAACCCCTGCTGCTCCCAGTGGCGGCGCACGACGAAGCCCAGCGTTGGGATCTGGCACGGGCCGAAGCTCAGCACACGCGGCATCCCGCTGAAGGAGTCGCGGAACTTGATGGTCTGGAAGCGCGAAAACACGGCGCCAATGCGCAGGTCAATCTCCTGTCGTGCCTCCACCGCGTCGGAGAGCGCCTTGTTCGGGGCCTTGAGGCTCCGCATCGCCGCGAACAGGTCCCGCTTCGTCAGCGCCGAGAAGTGCGCCCGGCAGACGTCCATACGGCTGTTGATGCCTTGCGCCACCCGCATCACCTCGAAGCAGATACTCTCCCCTTCGCGGTCGCAGTCCATCCACAGCACCAGCGTCGTGGCACGCCTAGCGAGCGCCTCAATGTTCTTCTTCACCGGCTCCTGGTCCGGCTTCACGCGCTTCGTGATGGTCGCTGTAAAGAGGCCGGGTAGCGGGTAGCTCGACCAGTTCCGCGTCTGTGGCGGGAACTCGTCGTCCATCAGGTGCCCGGCGACGGAGGTGCAGAGCATGTGGCGCCCCTCAAAATCGAACTCAAAGACGGGGTTGAAACGCGAGAGGGAGTTGGT